TATAAGTTCTTCTCCTTCACAGTCGGTTTTTCCATGTGAACATTGTTTATGAGTAGTGCCTGCAACTATTTATGGTTTATGAATAAGTTACTTCGAAGTTGTAAAATTTCTGGTAGTCGTTCGTAGAAAAATATCGTTCTTATATGACCACATGGCACTAGGAATTATGTGTGTAATCTGACCAGGTGAAATAGTTTTGTCGTCTCAAACCTGTAGATGGCAGATGGAAGCCCGAAGTACACTGTTGACGAGGCTCTTGTGGCCATGGGGTTTGGAAAGTTCCAAATTCTTGTGCTTGCATATGCCGGCATGGGTTGGGTCTCAGAAGCCATGGAGATGATGCTACTCTCTTTTGTTGGACCAGCGGTTCAGTCTGCTTGGGGTCTTTCGTCTGAACAAGAAAGTTTAATAACCAGTGTGGTTTTTGTTGGAACGCTAGTCGGAGCTTACTCGTGGGGCATAGTTTCTGACAAATATGGACGTAGGTGAGCACTTTCTTGTTTCCTTTTTTTTCTTCTCTTTGGCTAATTCAGATAGTCTGGATCATGTATAAATACATTGTACAAGAATGATGACAAATTTTTTTTTTTGTAATTCGGACTTTTGTACAATCTTTTCTTATGATTCTTTCCTCTAAATATTCTGACGGATGTACATCATTGAGATGCCTTGTACTGCGCACGCACAACCTGCATCTTTTAGTAGTGAAAGCAATGCTATTTCTCTGGTACCTGCACATTTTATCAACTGTAGTTTTCTTTCTCTATCTTCATTGATGCAGATTTGGCTCTTTTTGCCTTTCCAATGTTTGAATGCACCTAATTTCCAAGTTTAACAATTGTACTGGTTCTTTTTTTTATCTTTTTGTTAAACTTCTATTCCTCCAGGAAAGGATTCCTCATTACAGCCATAGTTACTTCTGGAGCTGGTTTTCTGAGTGCTCTTTCCCCCAATTATACATCCTTGCTCGTCCTTCGTTGCATAGTTGGTGTTGGTTTGGGAGGTGGCCCTGTACTCTCATCCTGGTTTCTGGAGTTCATTCCTGCTCCTAACAGAGGTACCTGGATGGTTATTTTTTCAGCTTTTTGGACTGTTGGAACAATTCTTGAGGCTTCACTTGCGTGGGTATGTTTTTGAGTACTTTCTTCGTAATCGTTTAAGTTTTCTAGATTTGAATCCGCCCCTTTCGGTTTTTCGTTTTTGTATATTTCATTATTTTGTCAGTGTTTCATCCCTACATATTGGAAGTCATGGAATTTTGGCATCAATACTGCCTAATTTTTAGCAGTCGTGTCAACTGGATACGATGAACACAAAAAACATTAGGAGTCACTTCCTTATTCACCTTACATATTCGACTGCAGATAATTTTAATTTTTCCTTGTTTTGCGTTTGCAGTGCTGCATGTGTAATGAGAATATAAGGTTGGTACCTTCATATACTTATGTTGTGTTCTTTGCAGCTTGTCATGCCAAACTTTGGTTGGAGGTGGCTACTTGCCTTGTCTTCACTCCCTTCATCGCTTCTCCTCATATTCTATTGGGTTGCACCTGAATCACCGAGATATTTGTGCTTAAAAGGTAGAACAACTGAGGCAATCAATATTTTGGAGAAAGTAGCAAGAATGAATGGAACGAAACTCCCTTCGGGGAATCTTGTTTCTGATTTGAAAATTGAGTTACCTGAAAATAGTACTCCATCAGAAGCTACGCGTTTGATCTCACCGACAGATAAAGAAGATCCAACTCCTAAGGAGATGGATTCTAATGTGGGGGGCATCTCTTCACTGTTAACGCTTCTTTCCCCAAAATTAATCAGATCAACCCTGCTCTTATGGGTAGTATTCTTTGGGAATGCTTTTTCATATTACGGCCTGGTGCTTCTGACAACTGAGTTGAGCAGCAGACACAGTACATGTACACCGGGTCCAATACAGTCGGATAAAGCGATGGATACTAGCTATAGAGATGTTTTCATCACTAGTATTGCAGGTACATTTATCTGCATATTTCAGTATTTTTTGTTTAATAATTGAAAGTGTTTTGTAGTTCTAGAAATTGGTTGACTCACATTTAACTTTGTTTGGAAATGAAGAGTTCCCTGGGCTCCTCATATCTGCTGCTACGGTCGATAAACTGGGTCGTAAGCTTTCAATGTCATCCATGTTCTTCCTATGCTGCATTTTTCTACTCCCCTTGGTAGTCCATCAGTCTCAGGGCTTGACCACTATCCTTCTGTTTGGAGCTCGCATATGCATCACAGGGTCCTTCACGATAATCTACATATATGCCCCAGAGGTAATTTGTTAATGCATTCATCATTTCAAGAGGACACAAACACGAAAATTGATTCTTAAGCCCGCAACTAGTCCATGCTTTCGTTCAATGCATATTGTCTGGGATTTTTATTATTCAAATGAACTTGGATTTTGTTTGACATCCAGCACATACACGGAACCTCTATATTCTTCATCACATTCATAAATGTTAATAGAAAATGATCTCATTGTTTATCATATGAAAGAACTCCGCGTCTAAGAAATCATTTTGTGAAGAACCTTGTTTGAATATTCACATTCTGAGTCTTCTGGTTGTATGAATTTTTGTCCATGAAAATCATTTAGAACTTATGCTGGGGTTTTGATCTTTATTTATTTGGTTTGAACTCTAGATATACCCAACCTCAGTCCGAACAACTGGTGTTGGAATCGCAAGTGCAATGGGAAGAATAGGTGGAATGTTATGCCCTCTTGTGGCAGTAGGTTTGGTGCATGGATGCCATCAAACAGCTTCCATTCTGCTGTTTGAGATTATAATTTTTCTTTCGGGGATATGCGTGTTGCTCTTCCCGTTTGAAACCAAGGGCCTTGAATTGAGCGATACTATATCGGATTCAAAGACTCAAAGGCAGTAAATGCATTTGTAAGAACATACCGCATACAGTAGATGTTTTACAGTGTCGATTTGATAGACACGAAAGAAGAAATTAGGCAAGGATTCTTTCATTCCCAAATGCAGCTTGTGAATAATTTAGCAGCAGCAGTTGTAACTTTTTCTTTCCTTGAAGCAAACTGTGTTCCTTAAACATCTTAAAGTGAGTATATTGCATTTCTAATTTAAAAACTGAAAGGTTGGGCAGAAAATGTCGAACTCTTGGACCAATGATACAATGCCATGTGCGGAAGTAAAAATAAATGAGATTGTATGATTGGATCGGGACACTACCATGGCATCTAGAGGGTGTAGGCAAGTCAACTTGTCATATGAGATTCTGAGAAGGCTTAAGTCTGTCTATTGAGGCATTTTTCTCACAACTTTTGATATCTGAATCACTTTCGAAATATCACAACAATCTTCAATGCCCCACAATTTGATGGAGAATTAGTTTTACAGACTCAAGAAGTTGAAATCATGAGAGATTTTACCACACAACCGGGGCATGTATCATCTTTCTCTCTCTCTCTCTCTCTCTCTCTCTCTCTCTCATATATCCGGTTGTGTTCAAGAATCTCCTCGAGAGGAGATTCTCTCATGTCCTCCATTTCACCTTGTGTTAGTCATTATTGGATAGTGAGACCTCGTTTGATAGAGAGGATTTGCTTGGGTAGAACTATTCACTACATTGAAGACATTTTAAAGGAGGAAATAGATGACAATTGTATGATTTTGTCCGGTGGAAGGTTACTCATAAAGAAACCTACCCAATAAGAAAGTTGTCATTTATTTACTCATTTAAAATGTCTTCAATATAGTGAATAGTTTTACTCAAGCCAAATCCTCTCTAACAAACAATGTACGTTATAAACACTCAGCGAGTAACTCTTCAACAATAACGCCATATGGACTAAATATCGGTTTCAAGAGAGAAAGAGAGACCTGCAGGAGTACCCATTTTTTGTCTTTGGTTGCATCAATTGAAGGATTGTGAGTAAGAGAAGAGAAATAGAGCATTTTACAGGGGAGTAGGATTCTCTCCCCTCTTTTATTTCCTTCCCTTCCCTTCCCTCCTATTTGACGGTCACGATTAAGTCATATCAATATCTTTTATTAATTTTTTATAGCAAGAGAAAGACAAAACAAGAGAATGTGAGAGGAGGGGATGAAAAGAGAAGGGGAAAAAATCCTAATCCTTTTACAGGAACATGGTTAACACAGCTTTGTGGGATCTCATGTGTACTTGCTACACTGCTACCAAATCATAAGGGCCGCTTGGGAACAATCAATACATTTGGAAGAATGCCTCATATGGTTTTTTTGTTTTTTTTCCTTCTACGTAACTCAATTGTTGAACTCATCGAAATCAAATAACAATGTCTTAATGATTAAATACTTACGACATGATAATCCATTATCAACCATATATTGAAGAACTGATCATTTTGACCAACTTTTTCTTGAAAAATGTAATGATTAGATCAAAAAAATAAATAACAATAGCTCAATTGATTAAAACTATATTTTGATTACTCATTGACGACATACCAATAAACATTCAAATTCATCTTTAATAATATTTAATTCTCGACACAAAAAAAATAAAAAAATAAAAACATCGACGACATACCAATAAAAATTTGACACAATCGACTTCATCATTTCAATAATTGAGAATTGAAAAGTAATCGCTTCAATTAATGTCCTAAAACTATATTTGAACATATTTTTGAATGACCAAACAGCCCTAGAGAAGTAAAGTGAGTCAGTCCTCACAGTGTGCAGGATTACATGCGCACATTTCTCTTTCTGGGCACCTCACTCTTCCTTTGGCTTTCCCCACAATTTTACCATTTCAGTGACTTCCACGCCCGCATTTTCCTTCTTTTTTTTTTTTCTCCAATTTTACCAATAAATAAATAAAACTAAAATCCAATAAAAAAGCAAAAAACCATAGCGAGAAACTTCTTGTATCTGCAGGATAAACATGGCGTACGTTATAAAACAAATATAATTTTACTTTTTAATAAAATAAAATAATCATAATATTGTTATTATGTCTTGTAACTAGATGAGAGAGAGGTAAAAAATATATACATATATAGATGTATATAGGTAGATACTGTACCTCCTGCTTGGATTCTCGTGCGTGGTGCTGTCTCCTTGAAAATTGAAGATCTTTGCTTGAGATTCATGGCGGCAAACCAACCGCAGGCTCCAGATCGTACTTCCGGTACGTCAATCCCAACAATCCCATATCATAAATAATCTACCTTTTTATTCTCTTTGCTTAATTCTGCCTCTTGAATTTCGATCATGTTATTGTTTTTTTTTTTTTTTTTTTTTAAATCTGGGTTGTTTTTGTTGATCATTTCCTCAGATGGGTTTGTTTGTTTTTCTTTGATTTGTATGTAAAGTCAATGAATTGGTGAGTTTTTTGGTATTTCTGTTGGGGATTTCGAGTTTTAGTGATTTTTGCCGTGGGAATTTTGGCATCTGTGATTGGCTTGGTTTGTAGAACTGTGTCCTGATCTGGCTTTGCTGGTAGGCTGAGGAGTGTCTGGGATTGGAGATCTAGTAGTATCTGTGTATTGTCATGACAGAATTGTTGTAAGCATTGATTGTTCATATTCTGTTTTCGTGTTTCGATTTTTGTGTTTGAGGTCATTTATTGATGATGTGTTGGATCGTGTGAATGTGTTGCATCGAGTTCAGTCATAGTTTAGTCCGAATACTATACGGAATTACGGATCAATTTATTCATGCATGTATGCAGTGAAGATACAGTTTTAGTGATCATTTTTGGGTTATAGGAATCATTTTGATATTCATTTCTGAAGTTGCTGTCAACAAAAAGTATACTAGGGACTGTACAGTGGTTGTGCAATCAAATTTATATATCATGTGTATAAAGTATAAACTACTTTCAGACTCGGGTTTTGTGAAGAAGCCTCTCTTTGATATGGCAAAAATGTACCTTTTCTGAACAAAAGTTATATAGGTAATAGGGCATCACGCTTCTGCTAATCCTACCGTGTGGTTTCATTTCTCGTCATTGTAGTCTTTATATGTGTATCGCCATGGTCTGGTTTACTGGGGACTGCGGTGAGGCAGATTGAAAAGAAAAGCCGTTGTTCCTAATAGTAGGAGGTGGATGAATTTTTAAAGTTCAAGATTTTTATAAGATGAAAGAAAATGAGTCCTTTTAGTCCAAAGTTTTTGCTTATTTTTCTTTTCATTATAAAATTCATGAAACTTTTATTTTTAGTTTTTTGCAATTTGGGTTATCGCTAGAAGCTCTCTTGAAATAATTACAGCTGGACATCGTGCTTCATTGTGTATCCAAAAACATTTCCTGTTCCATGAATTTCATTGTTTAGGTCTCGGGTTCGAGACTTGGGAGCAGCCTCTCCATAAATGGGGGTAAGGCTAGCCGACATTCACCTCTCCCAGACCCTGCGTAAAGCGGGAGCCTTGTGCACTGGGTACGACCTTTATAGTTTGAGCAGTTAGGATCATATCTATGGCAGCTTTTGTGAAGTTGGGATCTTTATCTCTGTTTTTGTTTTTGACTTTTTTCAATACGAGTGGGTAGCTCAAAATTTCGTGTTTTTTATTTGAACCTAATGATGTGGACATGATTATGAAATATATTCATGTACTTCTATTTATCATGTGTGGGTAGGTGTGCACGCGTGGATATGTGCGCACATATTCATAGCTTCAAGTTTTCCTCCCCGAATTTTGCTTTGGTTGGTCAATAATTTGTACTCCCTATGTTTCTAAGACTCTACTAAGTCACTGAGCATACTGATCATGGATGCAGAAGAGAAACCTGCTGAACCAGATAGCATGAAGGAGCAGGTAGTTGTGAGTCCAACACGATACTCTTCTGATCCATTGCCAGTTCTTTGTAATTTAAATTCAATTCTTTCTCTTTACTCCCTCGTGCATGACAACTTTCGTTTGTTTATCTGTTATCAGCCCCATGTCTCAAAAAATGAGAGGTCAGTTTCTCCTAATCCTTCTCCAGATGCTGCCACCATAGGTCTTCCAAGGGAGGCAGCAGGTCAATCAGGTCCTTTTGGTTCAGGTGGAGATCATACTGTTTTCCCACCTAATGTTTATGCCCCTCAGGCCCAGCCCTTCTACTATAGAGGTTAGTCTTTTATTCATCTGGGTCAGGATGCGCTGCCATGGAAATGAGCTGTTCACAGCTGGGTTGAGTCTGAAAATACGCTTCACTGTTTGTTGGCCTTTTCAACATTACAGTGGAATACCTCCATCAGGAAGGAATTTTTTTTCCCTTTTTTGTGTTTAGTAATCCAATCAAAATGTGGCTTCAGCTGTGAGGTTGGAATATAAATTCCAAATTTTATACATTTGTAGCTGACCTAGTATTCTTTTTCTTTGGTCGGTACTCGATACTGTCTTGGAGGCTTGTATTCATAAATGGATTTTTAACTATAGTTCTAGAGAGGGATAGTTTTTGACATGTCATATAAGGAAAAATAAATTGTAAAGTAGTCCTTTGTAGTCTTTAGTTATGTTTTTTGTTGCTCTCATAGAATGTAAGTATAGATACAATGTTATCATCTGTGATGTAGGTTATGAAAATGGAACTGGTGAGTGGGACGAATATTCTCCATACATCAACACCGAAGGATTGGAGATTAATTCTCCTGTGAGTGTATCTTTATGCATCGTCATTCATGTATATACGTTTCTTTCTTTCAGGTTAACTAATTGTAATTTTCGTGTATTTTCAATCTTGATTAGGGTGTCTACAATGAGAATCCTTCTTTAGTCTTTCATTCTGGATATGGCTACAATCCACAAATGCCGTATGGGCCTTACTCCCCGGTTACAACACCAATGCCATCCGTAGGTGGAGATGCCCAGTTATATTCCCCCCAGCAATACCCATTTTCGGGACCGCCTTATTATCAGCAGCTTGGTCCTCCTAGCATGCAATATATTACCTCACCTACTACAGTTTCACAACCAGAGCTCACCACCTTAGTTAATATCGACCAACAAGGTGACAATATGCTTTTTGGACCAAGGCCTGGTTATCATCCTCCAGTGGGATCTTTTGGTAGAGGCAATTTTCCTGGAAATCCTGGTAGTCATGGTTTTCATGACTTGCAGCAAGGATTTGATGGATTTAGATCTGGAGGTCTTTTGTCAGACTGGCCAAAACCCTCAGACAGGCACAGGTCTCCCTTATCGCCATCAGTGTCTCCACAGCCAATTGGCCCACTGGGCTCATATGGGCAGAATGTTGGCATGGTATGTTCTCGTACCTGTGCATGTCTTTAATTATGATCTTTTGAAATCTCATTGGTTATTTTTTCTCTTCAATCCTGTTTCAACAATGTTTTTGAAACTGATTTCTGGTTTCTTCTCTTCCATCAAATCTTGGAGGAAGGAACTTGCATATATTTTGCAGAAAATGTTATATTATGTACTTTTGCTCAAAATATTATTTCCACTTTGTCATATGGAAGTCAAAGTTCAGGAAATATATTCTACTCTCTCCTTCCCTCTCTCACCTCCCGCTTTCCTTTTAACAGTTTCTTCAAGCTGCTTTTGACTCGTACTGTCACATGTGCTACCTTGTTCACCCCTGTTCTTAAGTTGTTTACTCTCTGCTTCTCCTTGCATCAAGATTTTGTATTTTTGTAAATCATGTTTATTAAATATTAGTCTTTGCAATGCACCATAATTAGAATCTTTGCCGTTGGTATTTCTATGTATTGCAAGGAAAATTGATTGCAGCAGCGCAATGTTTATTAGTAAAATACTGGACACAATGACTCAAAGTCCATCATAGGATTCAATGTTATCCAAATCAAGACATTTTAATTTATTTCAATGGCAACGAAGAATGCTGTATAGTTTGTTGAGCTGGTTAAATATCTATATTGAGGAATCATTGGGTTTAGTAACCATGGGTATCTACCAATATTGGAGTTCAGGTGTAGATCATTAGGTTACTGTCATCTTCCATTTTTGGTGTAATGCAACTTTGGCTTATCTTTTATGAATCACTATCTTGGAAATGATGCCAGCCTATATATCGTGGGACGTGAGTTGATTGTCATTTACACCATCATCTGGAACTTGCTGAATTTAATTAGACTCATGGATTCTAGTATTAATGAATAGTCGTTTTTCGACAGGCTTCTCAACAACAAAGGTCTATGTATGGGTTTGGATCTGGTTCAAACTCTTATAACAGAGGCTACATGCCCAGTGGTTATAATCAGGGATCTGGCCTTGGAAGTGCATCGTTTTCTAGCTTTGGAGCTAACAATCGTGGCTTTCTATCATTAGAAAATAGCAAGCGGCATGTGAGGGGCAGCGGTCCTATATGCAGTTGCAATGCCCCCCTTGATATTCTTTGTGAGCAGAATCGGGGCCCGAGGGCCTCAAAGCCAAAGAGTCAAATCATGGCTGATAGCTCTGTGGAGAACACCAAACATAATGCTTCTACAAACAAGGTCCTTGATGAATCATTCAACAGGCCTGATTTTGTAACAGAGTACAAAGATGCTAAGTTCTTCATTATCAAGTCATACAGTGAAGATAATGTTCACAAGAGCATCAAATATGGTGTCTGGGCCAGCACACCAAACGGTAACAAAAAGTTGGATGCTGCATATCGTGAAGCTAAGGAGATGCATGATAGCTGCCCAATTTTTCTCTTCTTTTCGGTAATTATACAATCTTTTCTTCAAATAAGATCTTTTTGGTGATGTTCACAGATAAGTAACATATGCTACATGATTTCTTCCTTTTCCGTTTCTTATTCTTTCTGTTTCATCCTTGATGCCCAGTTTTCCCTTACATTGCTGTACTTCATAATACCAGGTGAATGCTAGTGCTCAGTTCTGTGGGGTGGCTGAAATGATTGGACCTGTTGATTTTGACAAGAGTCTGGATTACTGGCAGCAAGACAAATGGAGTGGCCAGTTCCCTGTGAAGTGGCATATGATTAAAGATGTCCCCAATAGTCAGTTTCGTCACATCATTCTTGAAAATAATGACAACAAGCCTGTAACTAACAGCCGAGATACTCAAGAGGTGACAATTTGGGAACAAGACTTTTTATAATATAGGAAATATATTGCATCCAGTTCGTAAAAACAATATCCATTACCAGGGGAAAGCTAAATATTTAGTTTTTGTTAGAATACTTATAGTAGCTTGACTGAGCTTCTGTCTGTTATTGGTCTTTCTGTCATTGCCTGCTTATGGACTATAACTAATTAGGTAGATGTGATCTTTATTGCGGAAGGTCTTTGTTTTTTCTGATGCTCATAATGCCTCCTAAAATACTGTTAGATGCACCACCGATGCTTTTTGTGTAATTTCATGGTGTTGAGTCTGAATTTTCATCTTGTTTCCTCTTATTTTCCTTACTTAATATGAATCATTTGTAGGCTTTGTCCTCCTGTTTCCCCTTTTGTTCAGTTTTACTTGTTCTATGTTAAGGAGATGACCATACGGAAGTTATTCGAGTGCTTAGCATGTGATCTATGTTATTCATTTGAGTTTGATGGAAAACAAAATTTTAAGATATAGATTAGAAATCGTGAAGCACGTTGTATTTTGGCTAGTCTTTGTACTTATGCTTACAAGCCCTGGTTTTGCTCCCATGTGTGCAGGTGAAATTGGAGCAGGGAATTGAGATGTTGAATATCTTCAAGAATTATGAAACAGAGATGTCGATTCTAGATGACTTTGAATTTTATGAAGACCGGCAGAAAGCAATGCAAGAGCGGAAGGCCAGACAGCAAGCCAGCCTGATTGCTGTCGGTGTGGCTGGAGAAAATGAGCACAAAAATACTGTTCAAATTCCCAGTGATTACATCAAGCACATGTCCAAGAGTTTTGCTCAAGTTGTCCGCTTGGATGAGGGCAGTAAAGAAGCTAATACCCTTTCTGAAAGAGCTAGTCCTGCTTCTGACGGCTCCATTGGTGCCAGAGTAAAACTTGAAGATGCGATGCCAGCTTCCGTGCCTTCTGTTCAGACCGGTTAGGATGACATTGATGCTCTCGGTTTGTATGTGACAGAAACTTCAATGCTACTTTCAGTTTTTTTATTAACTTGTGATTAGGTTGCCTGATGTCTCGATGTATTCATAAAGAGCGCATCAGTATCTGAATGAAAAAAGGCTTTTGTTTTTACCAGTTCTACGAAGCTGATGACGGGCTTCATGTATCATATGCGTCCTGGGTGCTGCTTTCCGATTGTAGTCAGTAGTTTCATAAGGTTTTGGGTGAGAGTAGTTCTCTTGAAGATATTGGTTCGTGTTTTTTGCCTTTGTATTGTTTCCCAGTTTCGCAGACAGTTCAATAAAAAGTATGCAGCAAAAAGACCTTGAGGGAAAAACCTCCTATATTATATGTTTATTCACAATTTGATTCTTTGATTATTTTCATCACTAGCACCCTTCTAAATACTTGACTAACAAGAAATTCTATGATGCACCCGGTGTGCGTGGTGTATTAGACGGCTGGATTTGCATGGCCAGATTTTAACTGTTCAAACACGGGTGCATCATTCCATACACTGTTTTACCTTAGAAAACCCTTGACTAACAAGCAATGTCACAGCTTTTGTTCCTTGAAGTGAGCCCTTGAGCATAATATCGGTTCCCAAAATAGATAACATGATGCGTTGCGTGATCATGCTTTCTGTTTGAGATCTGTGCTAGTGAGTCTCCGTAGGTGGATGTTAATCGTTGATATTTTGTTAGTTAATTATCCATCACCGGTTAAAAGTTACTCACGCACTCGTGCTCACTTTTGTAAGAATGAGATTCTTTTCTTTTCAGCTTTTTAAGTTTTTTGATCAATTATTGATTATAAATAAATAAATTGGTTGCCAACTTGTTATTTATAAGATTCGAACCTAATACCTTTCACTTAAAAGTGATGAGAAATTCCACTAGATAGTATTACTAGATTGACAAAGTGAACTAATATATAGCTAGTCTTCTTGTGCTAGCGAATACATGTGAATATATGTATCTCATACAATCATCATCTGACTATAAAGATAATGATTGTATTAAATAAATACTAGCATATGGGCACACACAACGTGTGTGAGAAATTTTTTTATTTTTGTTTTTGAAATAGAAGGAGATATGAAAAGAGTGATAGAGAATGGGGGAGTGTAAATTTTTTTATTTTTTATATTTAATTAGAGACAAGTTAGGATTACATGTAGGTGATGCTTTGAAAAAAACAAACAATAAAATTTGGTTGTGTGAAATTACATTTCTGCCCTATATTTCTTATTCATGTTATGTTTTAATTAGAGGGTTAAACGGGTAATTTCATAGAATTTTGGTTGACTGAGTGTTTTATTAATTAGTAGAGATAAGTGTTATAGCCGATGTGAATTGATCAAAAATAAATAAATTGGCTGCGAACTCGCTATTCTTAAGATTCGAACTTAAAACCTTTCACTTATAAGTGAGAATGAATTCCACTAGACTGTATTACTAAATCACAATGTGAATTAATATATAACTACCCTTCTTGCATGCTATCTCGGTATCTCCATCACGAAGGCCTTTTTAGGGGTGGTTTGGGAGTGAAGTGCTTAAAAAAAAAAAGCACCCATGAAAAAAAGCTGTAAGGGTTTTAGGTGTTTGGTAAACTGAAAAAAAAGGCTTATTTTGGAAGCTGCTGTGAGAATAAGCTGAAATCAAAGGAAAAAGCTGAAGCTGCTATTTGCAGCTTTGGAAAACTGGTTTTTTTTTCAAAGCACACGGAGCTACAATGCTCCTTTAATGAAAAGACCCACTATCAGACTCCTTTTTTTTTTTCCAAAAGCACTTTTACAAAAAAAGTTTACCAAACACTCTGCTGATTTATTTCACAACCGCTTATTCTCACAGCAATGCCGCTTATTCTCACAACATCTTTTTTTCAAAGTATAGCAATACCAAACCAGCCTTTAATCAAGTCTGCTATGCTCGACTTGCAATTTTTTTTTAATGCATGTGCATCAATGAATTTTATGTTTCCTTATTTGCAAGATATATGTGTCTCCACAACCGCTTGTTGCTTTATAGACATAGATTTTGAACCAAGTCCCTCTTCCTTTTTCATACGCGAAAAGAAAAAATAAAAAATTTAAGACGAGAGAAGGGGAGTGAACGATAGGAAGAAAGATAGAGAGATGAAGGGGATTTAGAGGAGAAAGATAGTAGAGGATGAAGACAGAAGGTTTCATGTGGGATTTTTTTTTTTAATTTAATCATTTTGCATAATTATTATATTTAAGTGTAACATAGATTATTTAAGCTGATAGATTAATCTATATAAGAATAATTTGAAAGCTCATATGTAAAAAGACCTCATAAATTTTTTAAATGAGGGCCTTAACAACGCCTTCTTTGAAGAGAAGTTTATATTCCAAACTTTTGTTCTTTTGTGTAAATATTTAACTTTATCTTTTAAAATCCATGTTTATCTTCCTATCTTATCCATGAGAGCGATGACATGGAATCCCATCTACATTTGTGGCTTCCAAAAAGGGGTTTGGATCCCATTCATATTCAAATTGTGAGGATCCTAGGAATTCTCATATCTTAATAATTTATCGTGCATTGTGTGGTCATAAATTATTTGACTTTTTTTATTTAAAATTAAACACGAATAGTATCTGACGAAAACTAACCACACGATGTCGATGAACGGTTAGGATGTAAGGATCCCTAAAATCCCTACAAAGTGAATCAGGAGAAGATCATCTTCCTCTGAAAAGAGGTCTAAATTTGGGTTGTCACATCAAGCTTTGGGGTCCTTTGTGGTTGAACACCAATCTCTTGTGAATTACCTAAATACTTCATAAGAGCTAAAACTTTAACTTGCTAAGAAAGAAAGATTATCTTGAATGTTGAATGTCAATAATCTTTCAAGGGCACTGTCAAGAAAGTGACATATAATGTTAAGTATTATTCTCTTTGTTCACATCTCTTAAGTTAAGGACTATGCATTAAAATTTGCATTACAATCAATTATTTCATATTGGAACAATTATGTATTAGATTAATCTCATACCTAAACAACCAGTATCGAATTTGCTCATTCAATATCATATCACTCTCATACCTGAACAACCAGTATCATTTCGAATTGGGTGGTGCTATTTATCCATCTCTTTTTACCTCTTACACACTTTTGCTAATTTTTATCTATAATCTTATTCAATTCATTCGACATGACGACATAAAATTATTAAATATATGTAAAAGGTAAAAATAAGTATGTGGATCATACCACTCTTCCCAATTTACCATTCATTCATGATTTCCCTAATAAAAAAGAAAACAAAGGATTTGACAAAAAAAAAGAAAAGAAAAAAGAAAACAAAGGATGGTAATGGGAATGGAATTGAGATGTGAGGAAAGGATAGACCATTTATTTCGGATCTAGCTTCTCATTTCTCATACATTCTCATCTCCTCCTATTTATGCAGTCATGATTAAGCCACGTCAACATTTTATATTACTATTACTTTTTGTCTTATTATCTCTATAAAAAAATCAATATAAAATGTTGACGTGGCTTAACCGTGACTGCACAAAATAGTAGGAGATGAGAGTGTATGGGAAGTGGGAGGGCAGAGAAGCCGGGTCCATTCATTTCAGTACACTACCATTGTTTGGTCAACAAAGAGTGCCACGTGTCAAACAATACTGAACCCAAAGTCCATCATGAAATGACCAAGAGATTCTTCAATGTGATTGAAACACTAAATAATACACTACGTGTCATTATATTAATGATGAAATATGTGTTAAAAAGTTAATAGCTTACAAAAAAAATACAATTTCTTACCATTTACCTAAAAATATGTGGAGTACTAACCATGTTTCCGCCATAATGGAAAATTTCTCCAAAAGACGATATTATCCCCCCTCCTTCGGTGACTTCGATGCCTTGAGGCTTGAGTTGTTCGCAAAGCACAACGAACCAGGGCGTGCATAGTATGACTCAGAAACAGAGAGAAGCGCCTCAACCCCGAAGCTCCTTGTGACTGTATCACTATGCGATTAGCGAACCGGAAATCAATCGCAAATCGACGGAGATGGTGAAATTCGCGGATTCCGGTAGATTTCACGGCCTATTCCTTGGTTCGTCGGAGGAATTTTGGCGCGAAAACATTCATGGCGGTTTCGCCACTCTCGTCGCTGTGCTCTTCGTCTTGGCTTGCCACTGTGCCAAGAGGTTTTTCTTTCGGAAATCCTCTGCCTCCAGTGCTTCTCCGGTTCTATCGGATTCTGATCCCCCCACTTCTGGCTCTCGAAGTCCGCAGCTCAGGTGATTTTCCTCCTGGGGTTTGCCTTGTGTTCAGTAGGGATCGTCTTGTCTTGTTTTTTTTTTTTTTTTTTCTGATTTGGTGATTTCTGGTTTTAAATCTAAGATTTTGCGGATTGGGTTTTGTTCTCTTGGTTTTTGAGTTGGGTTTTATCTCTATTCAATTGGGTTTCGATTAATTTTTCTATTCGATCCATTTAAGTTATATGATAATTGGGTTTTGATCAAATGGATGGTTTTTCTTCATTTTCTCAATGTGTATATGTCAAATTTCATTGGGTTTCTTGTTCTTCAATTTTGTTTAAAAACTAGTAGAACTTTGGGGTGATTGGTAATTGAGATTTTAGAAATCAAATTTTGTGGGATCAAGTTATGATTGTGTTACTTAAGTGTTCGTTCTGTTTACTTCTGCAGAACCTCAGAACCAGTGACAGATGCAGATTTGAAGTTTCTGATTGATAACTTGGAGGAGAAGACAGGCCAAAATGTGAAATGGGAAAATGTCATAGACAAAAGAAATGATATTCTATCTTACTATGCTAAGTGCTGCAAGCCTAAGGTCATTCATCTTGTCTTAGTCTTTGAATTGATTATGATATGCTAACTTATCCTTTCTGTACCCCAAAATTACCAGTGGCGTTTATTCTTGTTCTAGAATCCGTTGGTCACATGAAATACTTGATTCCTTGTTTAACTCTACTGGTTTTAGCAAATAAAGGCTATGGAATTGAGTTTATGTATCTATTTTCTTGCATTCAGGATGGTCCTTTGACATACTTGAGTGTGACGATATTTGAGAATTGCTCTCCTGAGAAGCTGAGAGACTTCTACATGGACAATGATTACAGAAAACAATGGGACAAGATGCTGATTCAGCATGAGCAGTTACAGATGGACAAAAACAATGGGGTTGAAGTTGGTCGGACAATAAAAAAGTTTCCACTGTTGACAGCTAGAGAATATGTATTAGCTTGGAGATTGTGGGAGGGAAAAGATAAAACCTTTTATTGTTTTATCAAGGTAACTGCTACCTGAAAATTATTCATATGTAAATTACTTCTAGGCAGTTTTGAGTTGTGTGAAGTTTTAGATTTTCCATGTGCTGGTGGTCCAAATGTTATCTAATGAGTTGATATATCATATATGCAGTGATGCACGTAATATCTTTTGCATTTCTTTCTCTATCTCTCGCTTTCTCTAGCATAATTCCCTTTTATTTTTTTACCATTAAGTTTTTTCTTTTGGTTCTCTTCTTCCTTTTAGCACTTATCTGCCTCTCTTCATAAATTACCTGATATGCTTTCCAATAATGGGTGATGACAGGAATGTGAACATCCTTTGGCACCACGCCAGAAGAAGTATGTGCGTGTTCGTACCTTCAGATCTGGTTGGCGAATCCGAAAAGGCAAGATGCCAATGAGTCCAACTTTGTTGTTTATTTTGTATCTACCATTTCAATAAAAGGAAATTTCCTTTGTCTTTATGTTTAATTTCAATTAATCATTTTATCCCACGTTGAGCTGCTTTCATATTTATTCAGAAACTAGTACCGTGAACTATAAGGCCTATTTCAAATAGCACATATGCTTAACTAAGCTCTATACTGCTGAACATGACACAGTAATTTCTGATAAGGATCAATAGTTTTCCACTTTTCTTTAATGTACTTGTGGTGGATAAAGAAATGAGTTTTCTTCTTCTTAGGCACTAGTTGCACATATCAGGCAAAACACAAAAGCACCACTTACACTTCAAAGATTTCTTTGGCTGAAATTCTGGCAGACTGAATTTTATGAAACAGAAACTGTTTATAATTTTCTGATTTTAATCATCTGTTACAGTGCCTAGTACTAATGCTTGTGAGATCAAGATGTTTCACCAAGAAGATGCTGGTTTAAATGTGGAGATGGCAAAATTGGCCTTTTCTAGGGGCATATGGAGCTATGTGTGCAAGATGGGCAGCGCACTTAACAGATATTCGACAATCAGCTCTCATCAATCAAGTTCTGCTGCTTCTGCTGTCACGTTAATTAAAAGGGTCAGGACAACTTTCTTCGATGGAGTTGTATTGTTTAAATTTTAGTCTCCTAAATTTTAATATACATTGGTTGTCTTGGACTCATGCTACATTTAAGGCATTTCTTGATGGAGCTTTATCCAACTTATCAGGGTACTTGGCTGGTTTCTCATGTATTAATTTCTTTAGAGAGTTAGTTGAGGTAGATTGAATTCTCTTGGTCTTATATAGTAAACCTCCACTCGATGCTTAGTTGTCTAAGCATCGGTCTGTCTCAAGTAACTTGGGCTTTGTCTGGGATTCATGTTGGGATTCATGTTTTGTATATCTTGTCGGTATTGTGCTGCTTGGTAAGGGTTTCGTATTTTTTGGCTTAAAGGTTCTGACCAACCTTGAATGCTGATAATAATTGGTTTGTTCACCTAGACAAGGTTATTTTACATCCGGAGCTTATATTGCTACATGTTTGTAGCATTGTGCAGCCTAGATGAAAATTTGAATGTTTGCCTTAACTCAACTACTCCGCTCATGCTTGTCTCTGGTGCTTTATAGTGGTGAATCAATTAGTGACCGTACTGGGCTTTTCCTTCCCCTATCAGTAACTAGGAGTCTAAGGAAGTCTCTGAAGGATGTCTATAGTTTACTATTCATGCTCGTTTCTTTTAATTTTAGAGATGCAAAATATCTAATCTTTCTACATATTTGTAATCTGCATGCTGTTGGTACTGATTGTAATTCTCCTCCACACAGGTTCCCCCTGGATTAGAAGCCACGGATGAAATGACCTCTCAAGCAACCTCAGTAGCAACGTCTGTTTGCAGACCAACCACGGGCGAGGGAAGGAAATTGTCAAGAACACCTTCAACGAAATTGTTGGCCAATGGCCTGCTGCTTCTTGGGGGAGTGGTCTGCCTGTCTCGTGGTCACTCTAGCCTGGGCGCTAAGGTTGCCATGGCTTACATCTTAACGAAGTGGAGTAAGCGTGGCGCTTCATCAAGTCAAAGAAGTGAAATTTCTGGTGCATGACCTTGTTGGCATCACAAATAATTTTGGACGGTGGAGTACAGTTTTCTTATCTAGACCATTGATGGGCCATCTACCATGGAAACCAACTACTACGCTCTACTTGTGCAAAAACGAGAAACGGAAGAAGGGTGGAGGGTAGTTCCTTAATTGTTCATCATGCCTTCCATATCGTATAAATATCTGCCTACCCTTTTACCATATTTATATCCTGATGGCTAGCAATTGGATTGCACAATGATCAATGGGAAAGGCCTATTGGTTCTGAATCTCCGATGCAACTTTTTCGTTGTCGTCCCAGCAACTGGTCATTCTATGACCTCTTGCGGGATACAGAGTATAACGTTGTGTGGCTGCAGTCGGGCAGAAGATGTCACTGCTCTTGTATGATAACTCAGATCTATCTGCAATAAATAAACTCAAGCTGCTTTTGAAGTTCTCGGAACCGTTGGAAAGGTTAAGGTGTTTGTGCCTTGATGATTAAATTTGTATGGGAGTGTTATACTTGCATCCTTCATTTTCCGCATCAGTTATGACCCTGAGGATATGTGTTGGCTTCTTGGTGTATTACGCTCATCCACCCCAATTTCTTTTACGCATTATTTATACATCTATTGTGGAAAATTTATCTTTGGAAATAATAATGCAAGGGATCTTCACAAATAAGCCGCCAACGCGAAACTATATTTCACAGTAAAAACACTCATTGTCTTCTAAGTGAAGGACCTGTCGATCGAGCGTTAGGGTTAATTACATTAACATCTCTTGAGGTTTATCGTGTTTTTATAAAATCTCTTCACATTTGAAACATTGCACTAACATCCTCTGAGGTTCTGATTCATTTTCATATAAACCCTTAGGGTTGAAATCACCTTAAAATATTTTTTTAAAGACAAATTTACCCTCGTTATTAATTACTTAAGAGTAAGAAGCTTTCAAAAATAAATATAATAAAAACTCACAAACTTTTTTATTCTATTGTTTTGTCAAAGGGAAATTTTATTTAAACCTATTTAACCTCTTTTTACACCCAACTTAAATTTTAAATGTTAATTGTCTATTTTTACCATATTGCATAATTACTATTAAGTACAAATGAAGTTAATAATAAAACTCATATTTATCAATAAACTCAAATACTATAATTAAATCCTACGATCACTCGTTCATTCTGACTAAAAACTCTAATAGCTCTCATAGAGAAAAATAAGTTTTTTTTATTGATGGATGATGATTTTGAAGTTTTGAATCCTCAAACCAAGGTATGACTCAATTTATGAATTTTTTGTTCGTTTGATTTCCATTTTTTAGAGTGTAGAAGTTACTTTACTGTAATTTTTTTCAACAAATACAACGAAAGCATCCTACCTTCCGGCTAAAAGAAACAACAACGACAGAATATGTTTACTCCTTAGATTTTGTTGATAGCCCTTGGCTTAATCGCCATGACACAAACAGCAGCTAAAAATCAAATGGTCTATGCTTAAAATTTGAAAGCTACGCTCACCTTTGAATGGCCTTTCGATGCAGTTTCCTTTGCTCTCAAAAAGTGGGGTTAAAACATTTGAAGGAGAAGAATGACGTGTCATAACATTCCCTGATATTCCTGCTAAAACATTTGAATTGGTTGCCGAGGTCTGAAGGAGGAGGAAGTAGCGGTGGTGATGACATGAAGCCATTGATCACAGGTTCCGACATCAGCAGTGGCAACGAGAACGAATCGACCAAACAAAAATTTAGTACTACAATCATTGGGGACCCCAAGGACACTGGTTTAAGATTAGTACTATAATCATTGCCTTGACGCCGATTGAGCCCGGGAAGGTACTTTTTTGCATAAAAAGTGATTGAGGCTGCAATGATTTCCTGTTTGATGCCACGAGATTCCATGACCGAAATCAGCCTCTGGTAGAGAGGCAAGCTTAAGGTTGATGCATCCTCGTACCACCAATCTGAACTTGATTTCTTTGGTCTGGCCCCCGTACTTATTCCATTCCACAGGACACTCCCACCAGGACTTTGCATGGGGCCGCCATGCTCCTTGACAGGCCACCCAAACGAATTAGGATCAGTGGATGCTTTTGTGGCAAGTGACTCCATGCGCCTTTTTGGAATGTTGAGTTCTTCAGCATAAGGGAGAATGTCATCACAAGTTTGAAGTGCCTTTAGAGAGTCCTTCCAATTTCGAAGAACTACTTCATTGAGAAAGGCTTCGCTTTGTGTGATTAAGTTGTCCTCACCGTACTCTTCAGTCCACCGTACCGGGGATCTCAACCCAACCGAATTTTACGCTCAGCTTCATCCCATCAAATTTAGCTTCTAAAAATCAAATGGGTGTAAAAATAAATCTACATATTGAATTAGGTTTATGAGGGTATATTAGGTATTAAATTTAGGTTTAAAGAGATATTAATAGTTTAGTTAAAAATTAAATGGATGCAAAGAGTAAGTTGGGTGTAGAAATAGGTTAAATAGATTTAAATAAAATTTCCCTATGTCAAAACTCAAAAGTGTAACCTAAACCATGCTCCGCTAACCCAGAGATCAGAGTCAGAGCCATGGCCAATTGGCTCGCAGGATCACCAAGGCTGGGGAAGAATCCACCCCAACCACCGAAGCTCCAAGGTGAGATCCGGATTTTTCTTGGCGTATATGCGTTTGGTTCTTGTTTTAAGGTTTGTGTCAAGGAGGATAAATTATTTGTAATTCTGCATACTAACCAAAACTGTTGAAGCTTAACTGCAGTTAAACCCAAAGATTTCGAGTTTGAGGAAACATATTATAACAAAAATTGCTGTTTTTGGTCACTGTGCGAGAGTTACCCTTTAGATAATTACATAGATATTTTACACTAAGGGGAGAAAAAGTTCGGCTAAGTCATACAATGCGCAACCTAATTTGGTATCGAATTCGCCATCTACGAGATTCAAACCTAAAGCCTCTCACTTCCAAGTGAAGAGGAATACCATAAGACCGTAGTACCGAGTGGCTTGTACCCTGCTCCTTTAATTTGACTGGTTAATTACCTAAGTAAGTATATCTAGTATTAATTAATTTATGTGTACTTTTTGATCCGCAAACAAACACAGATGAGAAGAAAGAAAGAAAAGCTGTTGAAAGCTCTTTGAGTGGATCCCAACTTGAGGATGATACTCATACTTCAAAGAAGAAACGTTACCGCGAGTCTAAGAAATGCCATTTCAGAAAGAGCCAGTTTTATTATATTTAGTTTTACAGGGCTTTTTTATATTTTTGTTTTTGAAAGTAATTAATAGTGAGGATAAATTTGTCTTTAAGAAAATATTTTAAAATGACACAATAAATCTCAAAGGGTGTTAGTATAATTAACCCTTGAATGTTATGGCACCCGACATTAGACGTTGATAAGTGATTTTTTTTCCTTAATTAATGTTAAAATTACTAATGTCAATTTTTTTAGGTTGGCCCAATTTTCTCCATTTGGGATTAATTCTACTCGAATAGTCGAATTTCAAACAATTAGAAAGAAGGGAAGGGGAAAATAAACTCAAGTCCAAGACCCTGAAATGGGGTAAAAAGATATTTAAAAACTTAATACCTAAGTCTTTTAGATTTAGGTGTTTGCGCATGTTTTAGTCATGTAAACAACTAAACACTTGTCAGTTGGGTGCGAGATGATAATTGTCTTGCATACGAGTGTATACATGATTTACTTTGTCCAGAAAGGGCAAGATGGGAAATTCAGCTGGACATTTTGAAAAACAGTTGAAAAGGGCGGATTGTGTCCTCACGTTTCGCTGGGGCCGGTTGCAAATGCTGTCTTTCTCGATCAATTTTAACTGTTCATTGGTTAATGTCTTCTGCTCCTTTTCCTCTTTGTCTCTCGTTTAAAACAAAACTCAATCCCTCTTAAAAATTAAAAAACCACCCCAGATATTCCAACAATATTCACCAAAACAATTAAACAAATTTAATGTTATTTAGGGTTGTCTTTTTTATCCTTGTTGCTTCTTAATCGATCAATGTTGAGTCAACATAACCCATCATTTTTTTGTGATTTTTTTTTTAATTTTTTTTTGTTTCTGGGTTTTGCTTCGATTTTTCGGGTTGGAAAGGATGATCCACTTCCACAACATTCTGGTGTTGTGGGTTGTTTTATTAGGGTTCTTTGCAACCGGTGTTTATTCCAAGACCAATTCTCAAGATGGTAAGTCTCAAATTTGTTTTGGTCTGATTTATGTTAGTGCGTAGTTTTTTGTGTTTAGATCCTAAAATTTAGGCTCAATCTTACAATGATGAGAATTTCTTTGTCGTATTGAGATTTTTTTTTTTAGAAACATACGCTAATTGGGCATTACTAGTCGATTACTGCAATTTTTGGGGTGGCTTTTACCTCTTATAGGCTTACATTCCGTTAAAAGATCTAATGAAGATAGGTACTTACGTATTTTCCTATATCGACATTCTGATGTTTTTGTGTATCTTGCAGTATCTGCCCTTAATGTGATGTATAACAGCTTTCAATCTCGTTCTAAACTAAAAGGTTGGAAATCAAGTGGCGGTGACCCTTGCGGCGAGTCATGGAAAGGGATAACATGCTCAGGCTCATCTGTAACCGAAATGTACTTCTCATTTCTCACGCACATTAAGACTTCCATTACATGTCTCGAGTTCACAAGTTCAACCTATTTTCCATTGAAATTTTTGCAGAGACTTGGCTGACCTAGGGCTCAGCGGATCAATGGGATACCAGCTTGCAAGCTTAACATCTGTCACTAGATTGTAAGGCTTAGCTCATTAGAATAGGCATTTTTCTTTTTGTTCGGTTTTTTTTTCAAAGCGCATAAGCTGACGGATGTGCATTCTTCGTCATAGTACAGTGATTTAAGCAAGAACAACCTCAACGGTGATATACCCTATCAACTGCCTCCTAGTGCAAAGTACATGTAAGTCCGCAGACAAACATTTCATGTTGTATTACACTGTGTTTTAGTTTGTGCGCGCACGTGTGTAGAGTATTTCCATCGTTGTCAATACTAATCTCATGACCTTCATGTTCAGAGATCTTTCTCAAAATGGTTTTTCGAACACAGTACCATATTCAGTGTCTCAGATGTCTGGCCTTGAAACTCTGTAAGTAGAACATGCTCTGAGTTCACATAATGTTCTAACGAAGTCACTTCCATTTCTAAACATTTTTTCGGTTAATGCAGAAATCTTGGTCGTAACAAGCTTAACGGACAGTTGAGTGATATGTTTGGCAAACTTACGAAACTCAAAGAGTTGTAAGTTCTTCTAAACTTTGCATCAAAGGTCCCACTTTCATATTTTAACCTGATTACTTGAAATTTATTCAGAATGTAATCAGTAGTAGTTCTACTTTCGTATTCGACAGTTGATTTTTCCCTCCGGTATTCTCTTTTTAGTTCTGACAGATATTTGCTGCTATATTTCAAGGGTTAGTGACTAACTCGTATATCACAAAATCATGTGCAGGGATCTATCTTACAACTCAATAACTGGCAACTTGCCTCAGAGTTTTGGAAAGCTTTCAAGCCTCAAAAAATTGTAAGAAGCATTAAATCCTCTAAATTTATATTTATACGTTTTCTAGGTTCCTGGTTGGCAAGC